GCTTTGTCTTCAGCGGTTGTGTCAGGAAGGTGAGCATCATAGAATGCCAATTTAATATGCATGTCTCTACTTTCTGTACCATTAGCTCTGTCTCCACAAGTTTTGTTCACCTTGGGTTCCAAGTCACTACTGTAGGATTTTACTTAGCAAACACATTTAAAAACACTTGGTAGACTTCAGCACAAGAAGCTTAAGACCTTCTTAGTCAACAGGCTACACAGCCACAGGCAAAGTTTTTTCTTTCTTCTAAACTTTAACAAGATAAAGGAATTAGATGCAGAAAAGAAATGAAAGAAACAGCAGTGATGGAGATGCCAAAAATAAAACTACAAGAGAAAGTAATGAGAAAGTTGCCTGGTGGGGACAAGTGTAATTATAATTTCCTAAGCAGTCCCTGAAAAACACAAATTGCGTATGCAACAGATCCTGATACGATAATGACATAAGACTGTATCTACGAGCCCAGTGAAGCACATGCACTTCTATGCTTGCTTCTCTTGGTAACTCAGATGACAGAAGCCATGGCGTTAAATTTGACAGCGGTTCAGCAGTTAGGCAAACTGACTTAGTGAACAAGAGTCAGGTGCTGCTAATCCCCAAATTGGCCCTGATTTACTTGACCTTAAGTGACTCGTCTCTTGGCCTCATTTTACCTATTAGTAAAATAGGGGTCAAAGGGCCAATTGAAACCATGAAAATAATATGATCTAGAAAAAGGAATAGATTGTTACAGAGCATTTGATCTCTGGTGCATCTTAGCCGAGTGCTCTTGGAAGCAAGTCGATGCCATGACTGGTGGACCCTCCCCTATGTCATGCATAAAATGGGAAAAGGAACAGCCATTCCCTTCCTCAGAAGGTTGCTGTATATTAGGTGGTAGAAAGTGCAAATACTTAGTGATAACGTAAACTACGAGTGGCCCAAAGCACATGCAAATAAAACAAGATTATTCTTTGCCGTTTAAAACTTCTTCAGCGAACACTGAGAAGGATCCGTGATCTTGGTCTGGGTCTTTGTGGGTCTGTAAACTTCCTCGGTGTGCAGGCCTCTTTCAGGTGGAGAATCAGATCTTCTTAGGGCAACCAGCTGGGTCGTCTGGTATTCGTTTTCTGACCAGATACAGCCTCCTGATTTGGTAGTAATGCCAAGATAAGGGCTTACTTTTTTTACACAAAGGAGCCCAAAAAGGGAAATACTGATTTAGCAATTAAGAGTTAAGTTAGAAAAGAAATCAGACATCAGTAGTTCCAGAATAGATAATAAGATTGGCATATTTTAAGAAAGCCGCAAAACATGGATAATTTAAATTTGGACCTATGGAAGAACTACAAGGCGCCCTGTCTCAATGGAGGTATTTTCAGCTGGGGAGGAGGACGGCTTCCTGCTGCACAAAGTGGAGGAAGCGGCATGTGGTGAGGCAGTCCTGGCTCCAGCGTCATCCACCAAGGTAGGCTTGCTGCAGGTGGGAGGAACTTTGGAGGCTGATGACCACAAGCTAAGCGGCTGGGTCATAGCCAGGTCTAGGTCAGACACGTGCCTACATGAAATGAAATGTGACCTACAGATAGTAGACCTGGGGAAGGAAGTGTGAGGAAGCTACCTTAAAGGGGCATAGGAAATTACCAATGAGTGTAAAGGGCTTTACAATGACAAGAGTGCCCTGTTAGAGAAGCAAGTCCAAGGACGGCAGTGAGAACTCAATCAGCAGGAGGAAGAAGAGACTGCATTTCCATCTGATGAACAACAGGGCCAAGAGCAAGACCAGGAAAAGAGAAAGCACGAACATTTGTGAGGAAACAACAATAAGAAGGATTCTAAACCAGATGCTCCCAGGTCTTTCTACAAATGCGACTGCTTATATCTCTTTGTACAACTGTTTGCATATCAGAGTAAAATTATGTCTTAGCTAATTTCATTTTAAGCTAAGAAACATGTAAGAGGAAAACTGAAGTAGCAGATAACTAAAAAAACTCATACAACCCCTTGAACAGTTTTTCTTGTATGGTTCAGGGAAAAAGTCATTATTAGTATAAAAATGAAGATTTAAATCAGATAACACCATGAAAGTATTTTTTATATATCTGAGGGGGTATCAAAAGTTTGTGGAAAAATTACAAGTTTTTATTCAATTTTTCCATGAACTTTTGAAGCCCCTTGTATATAGTCATCTATCGCTCATCCGTGATACATTCCGTGAAATAGGACAGACAGTAGGTGATTTAGATACTATGTAAACACCATATTAAAAACAGGGAGTCCCTGGATTGTGAGTGAGTTCCACTTATAAGTATGTCTTTTGAATCTAATTTGTACATAAATCAGACCATTTAGGTATGGTTTTGATCTAATATTAGTTGGTTAAATGTCTTCTTAGTATATAGTATACCTCTCTATGCATACACTTTCAGATACCTTAAATCATATCTAACATAATATAGTAATAATATGTACAGATGTGTGTTGCAAAGTAGTACACATTTGTTATTACTAACATTGGCTGTACCTTGAATTTTGAATGGGCTTTATAGTGGTGGAAATGCGGACATACATGCAGTCTGAGATTGCCTGAACAGATGCTATATAGTATACAACTGTGTATATATGTATCTAAGTATGTGTATGGACATATATGAATGTGTAAGCATATGAATTAATGTGTATATTCAATATATGCATACATATAACGTTTCTAAGTTACATACTGACAAACATTTTATAAAATTTTGGAGTTTATATTTCAGATTTATATTATGATTTCAATGTATATAATTACACCCACTTCTCATTTAATGACATCAGATTCCAAAGACCAGGTCATTAGGGGAAAAATGACGGAATGCAAAGATGGTGAATAACCACATCATATCATCAATTACATTATTACCTAATTGTCAAGCCACTGAGAGTCATGGCCCACCCAAGGTGGCCCATAACCTTAACCATCACTCTTCCCTTGTACTTTGGTGTTTGCTACAGCCAAACTTACTTCGTTAATGTGTAAAATAGTCCAGCAGGGTTTCTACTACTGCAAATGCAAATGTCAGATAACAAGGCAGTAGACAAATAAGTGGGTATTAACAAGAAACAAACAAACAAACACCCCCCACCCCCGCAATTTAAGATGAAATAATACTTACCAGGTAAAATATTTAAATAGTTTCGATCAGTATTCTTAGCCTTCTCATCACGTTCTCCGCTTTGGTTTCCAGAATCTATTCATATGATAATGCAACATTAGAAAAACACAGCAACATATGAAAACACATAAACAGCACTATTCCCAGAATAATCACAACAGTAAAAATGCACTAAGGGCATCCTGCGTGCTAGGAGTTCTGCTATAAGCCATCAGATGAACAGTCTCATTTAATTCTGACAAAACCTTTGTGAGGTAGCTACTGAAGACACCATTGTTACACCACACAAAACCAGGGAATTGAAGCTTAGCTAGCTTAATGAAGATGCACAGAGAGGTGGGGGAGCCTGGTCTTGCACCCTGATACTCTTGATTCCCAATCTCTGGTCTCCGCCACCACAGACGTTGCAATGACCCTTCTTTTTCATGAGAGAAGCTCAGAGCACATCAGATAGCTTCACTTGGTAGCTGGAGTGTGGTCCTGTAGTGTGGTCTTTAGATTCGGAGTCACTGTTGTTGATACCCTTGTTCAGCACTACAAAGAAATGGCTAGCAACACTGGGAGTAACTTCTCAGTCAGTCCACATTTGTGGTTTCATGTGACAGTATAGAGGGAACTTCAAAAAACTCATGGACAAATGGAATGAAAAGATCATGGAATTTCCTCCCAAATGCTTTATAGCTCCCCTTATACAATTTACTTTTAAAAAATGGTTAAGACTTAGTTTCAAATGAAAGATTTCCTTCTCAGATATTTATTGGCTTTTCTCTCCCCCAACACCATCCCGTTAGATGCCCCCGTTCTTTCTAGAGAACACGATATAAGTTTCAAGGATAAATGTTGGTAAAATAAGAAACACCATGGTTGATGACACAGTATTGTCATTGAACACAAACTGTTCTACACACATGCACATAATTCCAATAGAAGATACACGTAAGTTTTGTAAGAATTCTATCAGAACTCACAAATGCATAATGAGTATTGTACTTTTATTCCAGTGAAATTCAAAACTATTTTGGAAAGGCCTTCAACATCAGAAACGGACCTGACAAAGAAGTAAACTGCAAATGCCGACAGAGTATCACAGTTTCAAAACCTTGGTGAAATGCGTTCTAACACTGTCTCTTGTGAATGCATGCACTGTCTCAGTAGACAGTAGAACACAAGGCCAGGATGCCTAATGAATAGAATGCTGTTTCTCAGACAGAGACACACGAAGAACAGGCTTTGAGTAAATATGAGAGGTGGACGTTTGAGCAATGAACACATTTTCAATGTTGCCTATATTTTCATTAGGCCCTGGTAGCATAGCGGAGTATACACTGGGCTGCTAAACACAAGGCCAGTCATTTGAAACCACTAACCAATCTGCGAAGAAAAGAGGATTTTTAGTTCTGGCAGATTTACAGCCTCTGAACCCCCCGGGCAGTTCTACTTTGTCCTACAGGAGTGCAAGAAGTCGTAATTGCTGTGAGGTGTCTTAGTTCTTTCTGATCACATGGGGTCAGAATAAAGATCTGTACCACGTCCCCACGTCCCCCCCACAGCCGTCTTAATGGGAATACTTGGCTGGAAATGCAAAAGAGAATGACTCATTTTCATGTTTATAACATGTCTGTCAGAGACAAATATTTTTTGCTTCTTTATCATAGTTTGTAGAAATACAAAGATGCATAATATAACAATCACAGTAAGAAAAATGATGGAGGTCTTAGAATTAACAGATACTTCCACGTCAGGATACAAAGAACAAACGTGGACCTGCCCGCAAAAGGAAAAGACCGAGAAACATAACTCCACAAAAACACTCTCTTCCATAACACCACGCAGGCTCCTTTAAGAAAGTTGTCTTCTATAACCCGGCGTGCCTCACTGACTCACTGAAACCACAAAGTAGTTGCTTGAACAAGAACAAAATAATACCATGATGTACATGCACTGCCTTACCCATATGTGGTTGAAAACTTCCTGTCATTTACTGCACACTCTCTAGCTCTCGTAAATATACTTAGAATCCTCCTCCTTCTTCCACACCTGTCATGAGCTCAATCTTGATGCTTTTAGTCACGACTAAGAATAATATTTAAAAGCCCCTGATCGTGTTGCTGCCAGTAGAAGACAGTGGAGGAAGAAGATGGTAGAAGGATCAGAGGGCATGTGCAGTTTTCCAAAAGACTGTCTGTTAGGCTAGCCCTGCGTACTGCGGCCTTGCTGCTCACGCTGCCTTCTCACATAGACCGCATGCTGGGGCCGCGCAACCCTTATGGGAGTGTAAAGGAGTGGAGCTCCTACAGGGAGCAACTGCTAATTCAAATTATACACGGATGTGCCCCTAACCCTGGAATCTCTACAGATAAGTGTATGGACAGGTGAAATGACACATGTCTAAACTTATTCATGCGTCATTAGAGGAGCAAACAATTAGAAACATTAAATGACTGTCATAGAGGGCTCACCGATAATGGGATATCTCACATGCACTACTATGCCACAGTAAAAAAGTTTGAGGATGTGCTTGATGAACGGAGAGGAAATGATATTCAAAATAATGGACTTGGTGGAAAAAGCAGAGTGCAAAACTGGGTGTATAGAAAGCTGCTATACTCAGATGTGTAACGGGGAAAATACACACATGAAGTGCGCACATACACTCATATCTACAAGGTTCTCATGAAAGCACACAAGTCGACTCTGGAGAGGAAGATGGAATGGCTGTAGGGCTCGCTCATGCACTGCCGCTGAGTCAATTCTGATGCATAGTGCCCCCGGGGCTCTAGAGAACAGGGTGGCACTGCCCTGTGGGTTTCCAAGACTGCATAGGACAGAAAGAACTCTCTACAGGAGTAGAAACCCCACCCTTGTCCTGCGCCGTGGCTGGTGGTTTCAAACTGCTGCCCTGTGGTTAGAAGCCCAAGAGGGGTAGGAAAGGCACTCTCAATGTATGCTCCGTGAAAAGGGCACGACGGGGGTGGAGCCGCCCTCCACAGGCGTCCTTCATAAGGGGGAAGGCGAATCAAACCACATTAACCCAAGGCTGATTCCTGTGAGTCTGAGTTCAGACACGCCTCCACCTCCCAACCGTCCTTGCCAATTCTAACACCAACCACCCCTCCCACTCTCTACTTCTCAAGTACGTTTGACAATTCCTGGCTACACAAAATGCATAGATAATGCTCACAATTATGGACTCTAGGGGG